AGGCTAGTCCTGGCATGAGATCTGCACATACAATGGGCCTCTCTAAGCAGCAGGCAGAGGCATGTGGCTGCCAGCTTACACCCAGGCTCTAGTCACAAACATATCCCTGTAGCTGAAAACAGCCTCAGAAGATTTGTGCAGATCCCTGACTTAGCAGGAAAAAGCTCTAGGAGGAATACTGGGATGGCTGAGGCCCAGCTGAGTCCCCAACTCAGGCCAGGTAAACACCTATGGGAAACACCTAAAGTTCACTGGTGACGCCTGTCCTTCCTGAACGTTCTCAGGGATTCTATATCCACTAAGCTGCCTTGCCAAGTTCACCAAATGACAGATCATCCTTCCATGGCTCTTCCAACTAGCCTTAGGAGTAGGTTAGGGAACAGGGGAAGCTACAGGCAATGTGGCCAGTGACAGGGCTCTCAGGAAACCTTGGCCCTGGCAAGCTATTAAAAGCCCTGGTTCCAAGCAGGGAAAATTGAGTGCCTAAATCATACAAACTCCTCAAAGTCTCAAAAAACAAGGACAACCCAGCATCCCTCTGTCTTCCAGGCTTTTCTGGAAGTGCAGACTTGAGCCCAGTTCCTCGTCCAGCCTCTGATGCTGTCCTGAAGGAAACTCCCCATTTCCACGAGGCAGCTGGCCAAGAGACCAGGTCAAAAGGGACTTCGGGGCTGGGAACAGAGCTCAGTGGTAGTTACTTTGCCTAGCTATCATATGTGAGCCTTTAAATTCAGCTCCAGCACTCCCACCTGCAACCACCACCACAAAACAACAGGGAGCTGGGAGAAGGAGGGAGAGAAAATGAGAATTGGAGTAAGAAAAACAGAAAAGCAGAACATAGTGATTAAGACATACAAAGGTGGCTCACACCTTAATCCCAGGACTCAGAAAGCAGTGGCAGACAGCTGTGAGTTTGGAGCCACCCTGGCCTACAGAGTGAGTTCCAGGACAGCCAGGACTACACAGAGAAAACCTGTCTCAAAAAACCAAAAGAAGGAGGAGGAGAATAACCAAATGCATACTATCCTCATAGTTGAGAGGCAGAAGGACTGTAAATTCACCAGCCTGAGCTAAACAGTAGATGCTATCTCAAAAAAAAAAAAAAAAAAAAAAAAAACAACCTTTTTAAAAGCCAGGTATGATGGTATATGCTTTAATCCCAGAACCTAATAGGGTCTGCTAGGTTCTGCTTGGCCTATATCTATGAGTACAAGACCCAGCCTGGTCTACCTAATGATACACTGTCTCAAAAAAAAAAAAGAAAGAAAGAAAGAAAAAGGTCATGGGGGCTGGAGGAGTTGAAGCCAGCTCTGGCAGTTCAGAGCTCATATTGCTCTTCCAGAAGACCCAAGTTCAGTTCCAAACACCCACATGGAACAGTTACTCCAGCTCTAGGGAATCTGACACCTCTGGCGTCCAAGGTCACCTGCACTCACATATACAAGCCCATATACATGCATACACATAACTAAAGATTGATGGGGGATGTCCTTCAATATATATGTTTCTACCATTGGTTGATGAATAAAATACTGATTGTCCAGTAGCCAGGCAGGAAGTATAGGCAGGGCTATAAGACAAGGAAATTTTGGGGAGAGAACACAGAGAGAGGTCGCAAGAGAGACATCATGTAGCCTAGGAAGAAGTAACAGGTCTGGACCCCTCTCCAGTAAGACAAGATCTCATGGAAATACTTAGATTTATAGAAATGGGTTAACAATTAAGAGAGAACTAGCCAATAAGAAGCCTGAGCCATTGGCCAAACAGTTTATAATTATTATAAGTCTTTGTATGTTTATTAGGGGCAAAGCAGCTATGGGACCAGGTGAAACAGAAACTCTGTCTACAAAAGATTATAAATATAATTTTTTAAAAAAGAGACAGGCAGTGGTGGTGCACACTTTTAAACCCAACACTTGGGAGGCAGAGGCAGGTAGATCTTTGTGAGTTCTAATCTAGCCGGGGATACAGAGCGAATTCCAGGACAGGCTCCCAAGCTATAGAGAAACCCTGTCTTGAAAAAATATTTTTTTAAGAATCCAGGCATAATAATAAATTAAATAAAAAAATGGAGGAAAAAAAAGAATCCAGGCATAGTGCTATAGCCTGTAATCCCTACATTCAAGAAATGATGGCAGGAGAATCAGAAGTTCAAAGCCAGCCTGGGCTACTTAAAACTACAACAAATAACCAACACATAAAATGAAGGTGTGGGGGGGAGATGTTTCAATTACCTTCTTTGTTAGTATTCTTTTGTTTGTTTGTTTGTTTTTAAGACAGTCTCACTATGTAGGCCTTGGCTGATCTGGAACTATTTATACCAGGCTTTCCCTCAAACTCATGGAGATTCACTTGCCTTTTTACCTCTGAGTGCTGGGATTAAAGATATGTAGCTATGTGCCACCATGCCCAGCTGCTATTATGTGTGTGTGTGTGTGTATACCACATGTGTGAGGTTATCCATGGAGGCCAAAAGATGCCATTGGATCCCTGGAGCTGAAGTCATAGGCAGTTGTGAACCACTGATTCTGGAGGCTGGGAACTGAACTTGGGTCATCTAAAAGAGCAACAAGTACTCTTAACCACTGAGCTGTCTTTCAGTTCTCCCTACCTTCCCTTACCAGACCCAGGCTCTTCTACCAAGTATGACCTTGAATTTTCTATCTTCTTGCATCTACCTCTCATCAAATGTCAATCATTCATCCTTCTCAGAATGACGTATGTGCTACAGATAAACTATTCTCATTCTAAAGATGAGAGGGTATAGATTAGGAACATGGCTCCAATAAAATGTTGCCATCTATAGACTAAGGTTTTGAACAGCAATCCAGGAGCAGTGGTATATGCCTTTAATCCTAGCACTTGGGAGCAAGAGGCACAGAGGTTTCTGTGAGTTCAATGCCAACCTAGTCTAAATATCAAGTTCCAGGCCAGCCAGGGCGAAACAGAAAGACCCTGTCTCAAAATAAACAAACAAAAAGCTTCAAACAGCAGAAACTAAAGAAGCTTTAACATCGACTGTACTGTGATCCACCTAGATGTGAGCAGTCCCAGGTGGTTGCTCCCACTGGCATAAATTCAGCCATATCTTCCTATCATATTTTTACTTTATACCTTCAAACCATAAGCTTAAAATAAATCTTGTAAGCACAATGAAATGTGACATTTCAATTAATGCTCATTATTTTAAATCACATCACTGGCTATAAATATCAAAACAATAAGATGTCTAAGTGGAATGTCTCTCTGATATCTATACCACATATGATCCTATTTGTTGACTGTGCCTGTTCAATATGACTGATAGGAGCTGATGGCTATATCTCACTGGAGGAATGCTGCTGGCAGGCCAAAGGCCCTGGGAATATGACTTTTTTTTTTCTTTTTATTAGGTTTATCGTTTTTTAATGTGTGTTTTCACTGGATGTAGATATGTGCAGCACTTGCATGCCTGGTACCCAGAGCTCAGAAGAGGGTGTTGAATCCCCTGGAACTGGAGTGTCTGGAGTTTCAGGGGGTTGCAAAACATTATGTGGGTGCTTGGAATCAAACTCAATCTCCCAGAAGAGGAGTAAGTGTTGAACCATGTCTCCACCCTAATTTCTTCTCCCTTTTTTTAAATTTTTTTTATTGTTTTTTTGAGACAGGGTCTCATTTTGTAGCTCTAGCTTACCTGGAACTCCCTATATAGACCAAACTGGCCTTGAACTCACAAAGGTCTTTCTGCCTCTGCTTCCTGAGTGCTGCAACTAAAGTAGGGTGCCAGAATTCACTGCCTCAGACCTGACCTTGATATTACACATGTAACTGATTGATATACTTAACCTTTTAAGGACTAACATTCTAAACTGAGAAACAACACCATTATGCACAATGAAATAAATAGAATGTATCAATACTAGTTACAGATATGTCTAAAATATAAAATAAAATAAAACCGTGTGGGAGTTGAGTTCTTAGACCACAAAAATGACAAAGGTGACAGTCTAGGACAATAGCTCAGTGATTAAGAGTAGGTTAATTGAAGACCAAGGTACTATACATATACATAGTGCACAGACATACAGGAAGTCAAAACACCCATACACATAAGATAAAAATAAGTCTTTGAAAGTAGCAAAGGTCACCCAGGGTCTCAAAGCCGCTTTACTTCTGTGGCGTCTTGGGGACCCCTGTGGGAAAACTTGGCAGCAATTGAGTCTGGGACTGAGCTCAACAGCTTTGCTAGCCATGGCACTGTGCATCAATACCACCCCCTCCCTACAATCTCTCAGTTCCCATTCTGGGCAAGAAGCCAAAGATACATTCTTCAGGCCCCCACAGGCGTTTGGAGCTGACAGAGTGGAGTTTGAGGAAAGGGCTGAGCAAAGCAGAAACCTCCCGAGAGTGTCAAAAGGCAGATAACAAATAACCACATCACCGGGCCTATTCAACAGTGGAGAAACCGAGACCCAGAGAAAGCTAGTGTCTCCAAGACCACACATGAACAGCTCATGGAGAGAGCCACCCAAGGAAGGTTCTCCTCAAAATACTTCTCTGGTCCTCATTGGATGTGATGGGTCACTACATATCTTAGGATTTGAGGGCCCGGGATAACAAAAGAGCCTGGGGTTTAAAAACTCCATCAGTCCTTTTTAGCAAAGAATCTAGTTGTTCTTTCCCAGTCCCCAGTCTTCCCTTTCCCTTAGCTACTCAACAGGTGACAAATCCTGTTCACAACCCAGACAGCCAGGAGTTACGTCCTCATTTTAAGAGGAAATCAAGGTTCTTGGAAATGAAGTGATTTGTCCAAGACCATACTACTAGTGAGTGAGAGACAAGATATACAAACCAGACCTACTGAGCCGTCAATGATGACCCCAGGTAGGTCCTGATTCTATTTTCTCACCCACATCCCATCGCCCTAGGCCAGGCTTGGAGCCACTTGAAGCTTGGGGTAAGCAGGAAAGAAATTAAAAGAGCCCTTCCCAGCCCTCTGGGCTCTGTACACTGGTACTTACCCTCCAACACCACCTCCTTGCCTGTCTTCTTGAGGGCCTGTACCGCTTCATCATGGGTGGCAGAGGACAAATCTTCACCATTCACAGACAGGATGGCATCCCCAACAAAGAGTGCCTCTGTCTGGTCAGCTGCCAGTCCCTTGAAGATCTTGGAAATGAGAATAGGCATCTTGTTTTCCCGGCCCCCTGCACAAGCACAGAAGGAAGAGGAAACTGAGGCCTGTGCTTCAAACACGGGAAACTTATCAAGGTGAAATTGCTTCTGACTCAGTGCTGGCGAGAGGGGCTAATAATGAGAAATAAAGGGAAGAAACTTAGGAGTTTGACACACAGCCAGGCTTGGTGACATGCAGCTATTATTACCCCAGCATTCAGGAGGCTGATGCAGGAATGGATTGCCTTGAGTGCAGAGTCACCCAGAGATATAGCAAAAGCAAGACAGACAAATAATATATTTTCTACATCCATTTTGGCTCCTGGATCTTTTGTTTAAATGTTTTGTTTGATCATCACTTTACTGGTTTTTTTTAAATGTTTTGGATTTTAAGCAACTTTCCACAGTATGAAAATTTACTGATAACCTCCATCTGGAGTCAAGGGAAAAGTAGTGGTTGCTATGGCCTGAAGGGACCTCTTCTACAATCATCAAGTTTTAGAATCCAGAGCTGGGTGTGGTACAGAATGCCTGTTATCCCAGCACTTGGGAAGTTCAGGTGAGGAAGTGGGTGGGGGAAGGCCAGGAATTCAGATCAGGCTCAGCTATTAGGGAGTTTGAGGCCACCCTGGGATATATTAGGCCATCTCAAAAAATAAACTAGTTAATTAAATGGGATTTACTAACCAGGATTCACACTGGAAAGAAGGGTCTTAAGTTCTAGAAATTTCAAAAGTATATCTGAATTTCATCTCTGATACAAGAAAATAATACATTTTACTGAACTACTTTATTGTTAAAATCTCAAATGCCATTTTAAATAATTTAACATGTATTTATTTTGTGTCTGTATGCATGTATACAAACACACATGTGCTATATAAGACACATGTGGGAGTCAGAGGACAACTTGCAACAGCTGGTTCTCTCCTTCCACCATTTGGGTCCTGGAGATCAATCTGGTCAGCAGTCTTGACAGCAAACATCTTTACCCTCTGAGCCAGTGGTTCTCAACCAGTGGATCACAACCCCCTTCATGGGTCAAACGACTCTTCCACTGGGATCGCATCAGATAGCCTTCATATCAGGTATCTACATTATGACTCATAACAGCAGCAAAATTACAGTTATCTTTTCGGGGGAGGGAGTGTTTAGAGACAGGGTTTCGCTGTATTGCTTTGGAGCCTGTCCTGGAACTAGATCTGTAGACCAGGCTGGCCTCAAACTCACAGATCGACTGTTGTGTCTGCCTCCCAAGTGCTGAAATTAAAGGTGTGCACTGCCACCAACACCAGACCAAAATGACAGTTATGAAGTAGCAACAAAAATTTAAGGTTGGGGGTCACCACAACATGAAGAATTATGTTAACAAGTCAAAACATTAGGAAGGTTGAAAACCACTGCTTCTGTTTGAAAACCACTGCTTCTGAGCCCATCTCACCAGCCCTCAAATGTCTTTTGCTGGTTTTGTTTGTGGTTTTGTTTGTTTGAGAAAGGATCTTACTATGCAGCCCTGACTGGCCTGGAACTCACTATGTCTAACAGGCTAGTCTGAAACTCAGAGAAATCTACCTGCCTCTGCCTCTAGGGTGCTAAGATTTAAGGCATTTGTCACCACACCCAGACCAAATGTCTCTTTAAAATTGTCAGCAGGGCTGGGTATGGTGGTACATACTTGTAATCCCGGCACCAAGGTGACAACGGATAAAAGATTACTGCAAATTCAAGACCAACCTGTTCCACATATGAAATTTCAAGACAGTATAACAGTCTCCAAAAAAGAAAAAAAATCAATGTTCAACCCTATATAGACTCCAGTCAGACCCTCAGATATCACATTCCTGATAGTACTGAAGATGAGAGACTTGTGGCACAGAGCAAGAGGTCACTGTTTCAAGGTTATATAAATTGGTGACATCTGAGCCTGGAACACCTCACTCCCAACCCCCACCCAGGCCCCACAGTTGCTCATGGCACTGCACAAGGCTTGAGGCCTTAGGAGAGGAAGGTGCTTCTATTTATATCTAGCCTCTTCACCTAAAAGTAATGGCTTCTATTCCATTTGAAGCTATGACCATTCCCAGCTGCCTTGGACTCAGCTGGACCCCAGAAGGAAAGTTACCATGGCAACAGGAGCCCAGTCTTCAATCCAGGAGAAAGTGAATGAAACTGCTACTTTCCCTAAAGTCCCATCAAAATATACTTTCAATCACCTGGAAGTACAGATTTGGGTAGTATCTCTGTACCTTGGCAAGACCCTGCTCCTCTGAGAATTAGTTTGACTGTCTGTAAAGTGGAACTCTATAGGAACTCTAAATTCCTTCCTGCTCTGACACACTAGTGTATTTTATTATTAATATTATTGTTGTTTCCCTAGTCTATACCAGAGTTTTGGATTAAAGCTGGTGCCCATTCCCTGTTTCCCCTTTAGACTCTTGGGGTTCAGTACATGGGAATTTATACTCTTCTGGAAAGAACTGACTCCCTGGACAGTATTTAGAGCAATAAAGGCTCTATAATTAAGACTTAAATTCTGGTTCTACTGTTCACAGACTGATCCTGGGGAAGTCATTTTTCCCTTTTGAGTCTTGGGTACTTCATCTGCAAAATAGAGATTAAACTCAATGCCTTTTAGCACTGATGGTCAAGATGAAGTAGACCAGGAGCTAAGAATAATGAACACAACACCTAGCACACGGTGGCATTCACCACCATGCCTACTTCCTAACCTGGGCCAAAGTCTAGACAAGGTATCAATGAACAGTTAGCTCCCAGGAGGCCTGGGAATGTAAGGACACATTTAATTTAATTAAAAAAAAAAGGCAGTCTGTTGAGAGCTGAAACTGGTAGACAGAAGGGCAGGAATGGTGAACACAGAAGTTGGGGATACACATGGATTTTAAGCACCAGAACCTGAGGATGCACATGGATTTTAAGCACCACATTTACTGGTTTAAAAAGTCCCTTCTGGCCTCTCTTCATTTCACCACATGTTGGCAAGCCCTGCTCCCAGAAACATACTCATCACATGGTTACCAAAACAGATTCAGAGATAGGGAGTGACTTGTCCAAGTTCACACAGAGATCTAGAACTCCGGTTGCAGCCTCAATGAACTGGGGATGTAGTCAGTTGGTAAAGTGCTTGCCTAACATGTATAAAGCTCTAGGCTTGATCCCCAGCACAACATAAACCTATTTTAGCATCACATTCCAGTAATCCCAGCACTCTGGGATTACTTCAGTGTTATCCTTTGCTATGTAGTGACTATAAGGCCAACCTGGGATACATGAGACCCTGACAAACAGCCATCAGTCTTGGAGGCTAAGAACTCTCAGGAAGGAATGGCAGCTCTGGGCTCACCCTTTCCCCCTGCCCATGGTACAAATGGGCAGATGAGGAGACTCAACCCCAGTCATCAGGACTCCTAGCCTGGGCATACAACCTTCTGGAGCCCAAGATGTCTAGGTTCTTACTGCCCCTTCTCCAGGACCATGCCTATGTCTCCATCCACATTGAGCTCCTAGATGCCAAGCCCTCACCTGTGCACCTAGGTTGCGTCCTAGTAGTGCCCCAGGCATCTATCCCTTTTCACCCGTCTGCCTTCCTGAGGATCCTCATAACCTTGATACCTATAGCTACCATTTTGCTTCAACACGGAACTACGAACCCATGTCCTTTATGCGCCCGCACACTTCCACACTTGGCGTCTTCTGAGCCCCCTGTAAGATCTCCAACTCCCCAAGCCCCTTCCGACCTTGGTGTTCCGCCCTCCCTCACTCCCTTCCTTCCTCCCCTCAATCTCTGCTCCACCTCAGACAGAAGGCTTCTGGCTATCTAGTCGCCTTTCTCTGCCAGGCCCCGTAACCCCTGAGCACTTCACAGCAACATAGACACCACGACCCCATGCCCTGAGTGCCCCGCACCTACCCTTGATGCTGATGCCCAGCCCGCCGGCATCGGCCTTGCGCACCGTCACGCGGCGCCGCTGGAGCAGCAGAGCCTCTGACAGCTGCGGGGGCGCCGTGCCTGGCTCAGCGGCGCCGTTGAACTGCGCGGGCTCGGGTTCCGGGCCGGGCTCGCCGTCGGCGGGGCTCACGGTCAGCGCGTCCTCTGCCAGAGTGAGCAACACCCGCTGCCACCGCTCGCCTCCCGCCCCGGAGCCCGCCCCGGCGCGCAATTCCAGCAGCCCGGTGCGCGGAGCGCGTCTGCCTGACGCCATCTTCGCCTTGAAGTCCCAGTCCGCTGCGCTCGCCCGGTCCCACCGTACCCGGCCGGCTCCGACCCAGCGCCCAGGGCAGAGGGCGGCAGGGCTGCTGAGCCAGCCGCCACCCTACCCCGGGCCTCGGGGGGCGGAGCTTCGGAGGACAGGCTGTCGGGGGCGGGGCTAACGGGGGCGGGGCCCCGGGAGAGACTAAAGGGATGCTGCTGGGTAACCTAAGGATGCTCTAAGGACCGCTTGAGAGTGGGTCAGAAGCGCGTCGCCGGGAGGCCACAAAGTTAGAGGAGGAGGTTGAGGGTGTGGAGTGCTCGGCAGGGACATAAAGGGACCGAATTCTGTGGATAAGGCAACCCAAGAATCAGTTTCTGTTCGCCGTCGAGGACTGGACAGTAAGTAGCTCTCGGCGCAGAAGGACAAGGAAAAGAATCAAGGACCCCTGGGCGAGACTTTGGGCATCTGGACAGGACTGCGTGTGGCGGGGAGCTAGGCTCCAGGGACTTTGCAGACAGAGTTAAATGGTAAAGGAGATGGTTTTCCCACGTTTTGTGGGCCATGGGGAGAAGGTGCCAGAGGCGGTCTGTGGGCGTGGCTCAACTTCAGCGCGCAGCCTCTAAAGAGGTAGGCCTGCCCACGAGGAGAAACTCTACTCCTTTGAGGACTTAATGCTTGTAGGTAGAGGTAGGTAGAGGATCTGCAAGTTTGAGGCCAGTCTGGGCTACATAAGACCCTGCCTTTAAAATATACAAAGTGAAAAAGACATAAGGAGCTGAAGAGATAGAAGGCTCAGCGGCTAAGAGCATACACTGCTCTTATTGAGAGCCAGAATAAACTTTACAGCATCTACGTTGGGCAGCACACAACCATTTGTAATTCCAGCTCCATGGAGATATGACACCACTAGCCTCCTTAGGAACATGTATTCACATTGCGGCACACAAAAATAAATAAAAAGATGTGTGTTATATATGCATGTACATATATGCATGTCATTTATTCAGTGTTTGCATGGCACATGAGCTGGCTAATTCACACTACCATTTGTGCTTCGTTTGTAAATCCTGCATAACCTATATATACATCATTACCATTTTATTGATAAGGAAACTGCTAAGAGCAGACCTCTGTGCTTCTTGTTTGCTTGTTTTTTGTTTGCTTGTTTGTTTTCTTAAGTCAGGGTTTCCCTGTGTAGCTTTGTAGACCAGACTGTCCTCAAGCTCACAGAGATCCCCTGCCTCTGCCTCCTGAGTGCTGGGATTCAAGGCGTGTGTACCACCATGCCCAGCTGCTGACCTGTGTTCTAACTTGGGTCTTTCTGGCTTCCAAGTTCATATCCCCTATTCCCCTGTGCTGCATGCATAGCAGCAAAGGATGATTGCATTATTCACTAACTGATCTCTAACTGGACCACGAAAGATGCCATACACCTGTAATCACAGTACTCGGGAGACTGAGACAGGAGATTCATGAGTTAATTCTAGGCCAACTAGGAATTCATAGCAAATTCCAGGTTGTACATTTTTAAATTTACTTTAATTTTTATGCAGATTGGTATTTTGCCTGTGTGAATGTCTGTGCACTGCATGCGGTCCTCAGAGGCCAGAAGAGGGCATCAGATCCCTGGCACATGAATTATAGATGGTTTTGAGCTATCATGTGAATTGAACTCCAGACTTTTTGGTTGAAGACTGAAGGACGAGCCAGGCCTACTGAGGAAGGTCTGTAATCTCAGATACTCAGGAAGCTTGAAGTAGGAGATTCATAAATTCAAGGTGAGTCTGGGCAATTTAGTGAGAATCTGTTTTAAATTTTTAAAATACAGGACTAGGGGTATATAGCTCAGTGGTAGAGCCTATCATGTATAAAGCCCTACATTCAATCTCACCACTGTAAACACACATACAAGGGGGTAAGGATTACAAGTCTCATGCTTGTAATCACAACACTAGGGAGAAGGAGGCAGGAAAATCAAAAGTTCAAAGGCTAGGGCAGGGGAGATGGCTCAGCAGTTAGGAGCACTGGCATTTGGATTTGATTTCCAACACCCATGTGGTGGCTCACAAACATCTATAATTCTAGTTCCAAGGCATCTTACACCATCTTCTAGCTTCAGTGAGCACCAGACAAAGAAAGGTGTAGGGGCACTCAAACAGGCAAAATACTCATATAGATTTTAAAAATGTTTTGGGTGTGGGGTTTATCACGGTAAATAAGGATCAGGATAAACAAATAGGCTGAATAGATGTTTATTCAGGGAGAAATAACTTACAACCTAGACAGATGAACACCAGGAAATTCAACCCGATCCTCTCCTGTCCGAGTCACGCCAGAAAGAGAGCGCCTTTCCTGGCCCCCTCCGACCTCCTTCCACAGGTCACTCCGCCCATGGCTCCACCCCCAACGGGCGTGGTCAGTGCCACAGAACTATCTCACTACAGGAGTTTTTTTGCATTTTTGTTTGTTTGTTTGTTTGTTTTGAGACAGAGTATCCTGGAATTCAATCTGTAGACCAGGCTGGCCTCGAACTCACAAATGATGTGCCTGTCTCTGCTTCCTGAGTGTTGGGATTAAAGGCGTTTGTGCCATTACCACTCGGCTAAAAAACATGTTTTAAAGTTAAAGTTTTACATAGTAAGACCCTGACTCAAAAAGGGAGTAGAAAGGGAGAGAGAAAGGGATAAGGCAGGAGGGAGGGAATACGGGGGAGGGGGACACATACCCACACACCACCAAGAACTGAAGTTCTTTCCCAAGACCAAGGCTAGAATTAGATTCTTAAAAGTCCCCCCACGTACTGCCCTGTTTAAAGAAGCTTAATGAAGTCCAGACAAACTTCTGGGAAGGAATCCTAATAGAGAGCTCCTCCCCTAGGAAATATTCTGTGGACAGAGCTGAGGAAAGGGGAAACAGGCATCTGTATATCAAGCAGCTAGCAGAGAAGGGAGAAAATGTAAAAATCAGAAAAGGGGGGGGTTGTCCATGATTGAACAGCATGAGCGGTGCCAATCACCTGCTTCTCTGACAGCTGCCTCACGAACATGTAGCAGGAGGAACGCTCTACTCCCCCACATAGTCAGCTGTGGCCAGAAATTGATGACACACAGGAACTAACACACACACACACACACACACACACACACACACACACACACACACACACACACGCCTGGCTACCTACCAAATGCCTGGGCAAAGCTCCCAGAGTAAACCAGTTCACTCTGAGGAGAGAGGAAGGGGAACCTAGAACAGGAAGAAAGAGCACAGGGGGACTGCCCAGCAACTCAAGTCTCAGCTATGAGAGCAAGTCTGAAGTCCTGGTCAACAGTGGGCTCCCTCTGTACAGGCTCCAGGACGAGAAGCAGAGGTTCCTAAATGCCCAGCACTCGTGATAAGAACTGCCATGACTGAGTATATCACACAGGAAGCACTTTGTGTGGATCAAAAGGATCCTCAACACTCAGGAGGCTGAGGTGGAAGTTGCAAATTTAAGGACACTTTACATAGGAGCAGTCTCAAGTAAAATAGCAACAGCAAAGCAGTAAGTGTGGGTCCCTTCTCTGTGTGAGCTAGGGCAGTGGGAATGGCTAGTAACTGTTATCTCTTGGTTCTGAGACCTCCAATCATAAGCTAGAGAAGCAGCTGTCCCAGATACTACAGAGGGCCACTTTAATTGGGTTAGGTGGCACTCAGGAGCTAGAGGCAAGTAGATCAGGAGTTGGAGATCAGCCTGGACTCCATGAACCTCTTTTAAAAAAAAAAAAAAAAAAAAAAAAAAAAAAAAGGGTGGGGGGGGGAGGAATAGAGATCTGGCAAAATTGCTCAGCAGTAAAGATACATGTTGTTTCCAAACCTAAATGACCCACCATGATCCCCCAGATAAGAGAGTTCCAATTCTCAAAACTGTCCTGTGAACTCCACAAGCACCCCATGGTCCACACATTTACACACACAAAAGAAATAAATAAAATTTAAAAGTAGGGTAGTTTTGCCTAAAGTCAGGTGAAATCGGGCCTGGTAACATATGAAGAATCTGCTCCCTAAATGCCAAAATTTAGGATGCTAACATTCCTTTACACTAAATTCTAAAGTCTATTTTCAGATGCTCTAGCATCTGAGATGTCTGAATCTAGCAAATATCCTAGAGTATCCCAGGAAAAATGTTAAAGGCTTTGGATCTAGGAATCTGCTGATTTAGCTGGGCTCAATAACTCATCTCTGTAATCACAGCACTCAGAAGACTGCACAAGAAGATCAGTGCAGATTTCAAGCCAACCAGATTACATAGTAAGGTTTGTTTTTGTCTTTTGAGACTGGCTTTCTCTGTGTAGCCCTGGCTGTCCTGGAATTCACTCTGTAGACTAGGTTGGCCTCAAACTCAGAGATCCATCTGCCTCTGCCTCCCAAGTGCTGGGATCAAAAGTGTATGCCACTATGGCCCACGTGTAAAATCCTGTCTTAAAAACACATAGGCCCATCCACTCAGTGATAATGTACACCTTTAATCCCAGTGCTAGAGAGGCAGAGACAGCTGGATCCCTGTGAGTTTGAGGTCAGCCTGGTCTACAGAGTTCCAGGAAAGGCTCCAAAGCTACAGAGAAACCTTGTCTTGAAAAAACAAAAACAAACAAAAAACCTAATAGGCCAGGCAGTGAGGGTGCTTGCTTTTAACCCCAGTGCTCCAGAGGCAGAGGCAGGAGATCTCTGGGAGTTCAAGGCCAGCCTGGTCTACAGCATGAGTTCCACGACACTCAAGACTACACAGATGCTGGGCTTTGGTGGTGCACACCTTTAATACCAGCACTCAGAAAGCAGAGGCAGGTGGATCTCTGTGAGTTGGAGGCTAGCCTGGTCTAAAAGAGCTTAGTTCCAGGGCAGCCTCCAAAGCCACAGAGAAACCCTGTCTCGAAAAAACAAAACAAAAGACTACAAAGATAAACCCTATCTAGAAAAAAAAACAAACAAACAAAACAGAAAGTGAGCAGGCAAGATTGTTCACTGGGGCCGGACAGTAGTTGCTCATGCCTTTTTTTTTTTTTTTTTTTAATAAAAACGATCTCACAGCATTTATTGTCACCTGATAATAACATAAGGACCACTAAAACAATGTGAATAAATGTTTCAGACTGTGCTCCCAACAGAAGAC